GGATTCGAACCCAAGACCCTCAGATTGTGAGTCGAGCGCCTTATACACCTGGCCATGCCGGGCAATTTATCTTGTTTAGAAAAGACGTTTTAAATTGTCAGTGAAAACGTAGTATGCAGACTTAAAAAAAAGTGAAAAAGAACTCAACAGAAACTATGGAATTCGTGAAAGTTATCATATTTATTAACGTTATTTTTTGGGTAAAGTTGCTTTTTTACATAAATTTCGAATTAATGTTTTTCTTTTTTTGCACTTAAAAAATATCGTACTTTTCTGCTAGAAACCGGGTTTCGATACTCGTGGTGGGCAGAACACAGATAGCCCATTGTGTACCTTTGTGCTTAATTCCAAACAAACAAACAAACGTACTTTCTGAAGTATATTCAATTGACATAATTATCTACTTACTAAAAACATTATTGAAGTAATCCGTTTTCAAAATATTCAATTGACACATTAAAAAACCCTATAAGCTATTGAATATTAGTTAAATGAGTTTCATGAAACAATGAGGGATCTATTAAGTAATATGACTTAGAGTGAAAACGTGAACTACTTTCTCAGAATGTCCCGGATCTAACTTTATAATCATGGAGTAGGAAATAGATTTGTTGAACTGCATAAGTTATTAATTTTGTAAAATTTTTAGACATTTTTGTTATTTTCAAAATAAAATAGTTACGTCAATGAGTCTAGTTCTTTTTAAACAAGAAGTTTTGGAAAAAATAATGTCTATGTTTAAACTGTATTAAAGTTTCATAAAAAGGTGTTTTCACTTCATTATTTCGTGTTTTACTGGTGAAAAATAGGTTTAACGGAAAATAACTATATAAATTCAGTATATATAGAAGCTATATACGTTTGTGTTGTATGCTATCGAGTTCACGCTTCACAAGAAAAATATCTTTTGTATTTCCATTTACATTTAGTGTACAGTTATTTTTTTTTCTGGAAGTGGCGTAAATATTAATTATAATTTGTACGGTCTTCAACCCAATAAAAAAATTGCAGGAAGTGGCGACTGTGGGTGTTAAACAACAGAAAAGTTAAAATGAATATGGAGGATGGTTTTGAACACAGGGGAATTCTTTAGCTTATCAAAGTGTCACCTGTGTAAATAAAAGCGAATGCAAGCATCAATTGCAACAGAACACTTTGTTTTCTCTTCACGAATGGTTGTCATGTCAACTACATGCATGTAGTGGTCCTTTTAAAATTTAGTGAAATAAAGGAAAGGCAGTGGATCGTTTATGTGTTGCCCAGATAAACCACTGGTTATTGTTAACATATATTCTGTTTGGTTTGTAAAGCAGCATTCATATCAGTTTGAGCTACACCGTCTAATAACCCATAAGCATATCTGAACATCCGGGCTACTACACTCGGGGCGTTATAGTTGCATATCTCGTTCAGATAACATGTTACTGCAGCTCTGTCTCTCATCGGTTACTGTACCATTAAGCAAGCAGTGTTTACAAGTGAGTGAGCCACCAGGACAGATTGGACGACGTATCGAGCATGAATAAAACACTTCCCCGTTTTGGGGAATGTCAGCGACAGATAACTTCATAGGCCTCACTCGGGCGATTTATGTAAATGGTTGGGTTAGCACGAACTGCCTTTGGGAAGCCACAAGCCTCGTGGGAGAGTGGAAATGTACGACAATTCAGTCGATTTTCGATACCCTGCAGCACTGTGTTACTGATGGCAGCGCGCTGGTGCCAACTATCTAACCATCTCTTATATCACACGATGTTTAGCACTATATCTCACCGCATGTACGGATACACATGCGTCTTATCACATTACATATATAACTCAGTAGGTAATAAGAAATACCGATTCTAGCCTGAAACCGAAAAAATCAAATGAAGGATGAGTTAATATTTTATTATGCTAAGAAAGCAAATATAGTTGAGGCATTTTATAATTTTATGCCTCCCAGTGGCACAGCGGTATATCTGCAGACTTATGCTGCTAGAAACCAGGTTTCGATACCCGAGGTGGGCAGAGCCCAGAGAGCCCTTTGTGCAGCTTTGTGCTTAATAACAAAAATTATAACTATAACATTATAGTTTTATTTGCGAACCTGCTTGTTTGGCATGTTGTTCTTCTAAAGATTATTAAAGGCAACTAGGAAGTGCCCAGAACTTTAAACTGTGATTTGATACCAAAGATAACTTACAAACTCCTATGAATATTTTACTGATCTCGAGTAGTTAAAAAAGAGAGAATAAGAATAACATATGGCATAGTGTGATACGCAGGGGGTATAGTTAGGGAGGAGGGAAGAAGCCAAAAGACCATCTCAGTATTCTAAAAACCCACTATCTTTTGATTTATCTTAATTAAACATCGATTTTCAGGTAACTCACTTAAATTCTTGAGTAGAAGAAAAGGTCCATATGCTTTTAAAAAAAAAATAGTAATAAAGATCCCCCTCCACTCTGTAATGCTAGCACTGACTTGGGACGTTGATTTGCTTCAAGCTGTCCATGTGGAATTTTTATTGTCTCAAGAAGGTGACCTGTATATAATGGTGATTGTTTACGACTCAGTTCCACAGCTACACAAATTAAGTACTTCAATGGGACTCGTTCGTCAAGTGCAATCACACGAGGGCTCCGAAAGTCCCTAACTGTCTGAACCTAATTTATTCTAACTTCTTCACTTTTCTCATTGAAAGTCATAGAACCTGATTCTTATATATGAAATGTAAGTTCGCTTCTTAACTTCACAAAAACGCCTCTTGAAGTACAATGAGTTAACTTGCTTCTGTTCACACAATGCACAAAAAGGCCGATTACGGAAAAGTGTTATCTCATCTTCTCCACAAATTTCCATCGTTTTATCAAACTTGATCTTAAAAATCTTTGCTCGGACATTCAGTTTTCTCGCAATGTTTGAGAAACATTCTTTATACCACAATTCGTTACTCTGGTGGCAGATTAACAAATTAACTGACCTGAACTGTCTATTACGTGCTGCATAGCTGGTTATTTCCATAACTGCTTATCATGAACCCAATCGTCGCCTATTTCTCAAATCTTCAAACGTTAATCCACCTTTTCGGTTTATTTCAGAGGAATGTGTGTGGTTAAGTGGTTAGCATTCTCGGATCGTGAATCCGAGAGTCTATGGTTCAAAGCCCGTTGCTGTAAAACCTATTCGGTCAGATAAGAGTAGCTCCAACAATTGGCGGTGGGCTATGTTGACTAGCTGAATTTTCTCTACTGTATCATTTGAAATTAGGGACGGCTCTTTGTGAAAATTCTGAAGCAAAAAAATTTATCTCTCTTAGCATGGGATCAGGAGTGGCCTTTCTTGTTAAGTATTTATGCAATGCAATACCCCATCCACTTACACAACAAATATATGATAACATAACATGCGGGTTGGGCCTATTGTAAAGCTCTAGATTTCTGATCTAGATGGTAAACCAAATTCGTGCGATTCCACAAAATCTTATATGCACTTTAAGCTATGGGTGTGTTATAAGGGTGACAGTCAATCCTTTAGCGTGGATGGTGATGGTAGGGTGTTACTGTCTGCTTGTTATCCCTCTGTTCAGTAGTTCAAAATTAACAGCCTTGCCATAAATACAAAAACAAAAAACCGAAAGCCACATTTTTAAAAATCACGCCGATAACTAAATATTTTACACTTCAAACAATCTAAACTAATAGCCTAATATAAAAAAGTAAACACATTATTATTGTTGTAAAGCGACAAAATGTGTGAGGCTCAAAATCAAACTAAACCTATTAAATGACACTTGAGGTCGCTCAATGCTATCATTAGTCAGTTGTTATCGGAAACTCTACCATACAACAGATACAGCAACATGTGAAGACGTTGGTACATTAAGAACAAAAGGTTTCGATACAACCTACAATGGTGTTAAAAAAGCGCTTTATGTTCAATTAATCCATAACTGATAAAGTATTTTAGGTCTCTATATAAAGATACAGAATATGAATAAAGTTCAAAATACATGTTTAAACTTTATGTTTTTGAAAAAGAATTGCATCATTAATGGGAGTTTACAATTTTTAATATCACATTTTACATTTTACACTTTGCTTGCCATATCTCAGTTAATCAGGCTTATATGTTATATGGACCTTATTGGTCGTTTTGTCATTTGTATTCTGAAAATAATAATTTCTAATGGGTCCGATCACGATGAGCTTCAGTGATCATTACAACTATAATATATTCACGACTACCGGTCGCAGGTGGCAATCTGATAAGTTATTCGCGACGATCAACAATGTGTGCTTGGTGCCTGAATAGTGTTGGTGATAATTATTTTCAGGTGGTTTAGGACCGAGGTTTCCATATTGGCCGTATTTCATCAGCGACGTGAAATATGATTGCATATTGTTCACTCTTTCTTGGTTTACAATGTTTAATCGATGTTGTGCGTGCTGTGGCCAGCTGCGTCGTACCTTACACAAGCTGCATTAAACAACCACAGATATTTGTCAGAGCTCCTCCCCTATAGAAATAGAGCATAAAAAATTGCATTGTTGGTGGCAACTAATTTACTAAGAGTGCTAAGTACCTCTTGTACTGTAGATGAAAGAAATTTTCTCTGTATTTCCTGTAGAAAGAACAAATTCTCTTTGGCGTTTTTCTTTCTTTCTTTTTTTTCTTTTATGGTTTGGGTTCACGGCAATGAATATTCCTTAACTATGTGGTTGGAATCATCCCAGACTATTAATAAATGATATTAAACAGTTATGGTTTTCATCTTATTTGCAGAAAAGTTTCTATCTAATATAATTGTTACTTATTTCACATAGGTCTTACCGCCGGATCCCCACCAGATCAGACGGAGCTTGATGAAACAAACGACACTCATACTGATCCTGATCATATCGTCAGCCGTGAGATGGATCGAGATTCCAGTTTGGAACGGAAGCCAAATGGACTACTGAATGGCAATTATATTTCTAATAGCACAGGAGCTTTGTTCAACAATACTCCGGCCAGTGAGTTGGCTGGGTCAGTGGGAAATAACACCAGTTCAATTCCCGGCTGTTTAAACAATTCAAGTAACAACAATGAAAGTAAAACGACAAGTGGGAGCGAAAGCAGTCCAAACAGCACTAACAACTCCAACTCCCAAAATCAAGGCTTACAGCAAAATGATGAGAACACACCAGGAAGTAAAAGACGAGGCCCTCGCACAACCATTAAAGCAAAACAGCTGGAAACTTTAAAGGCTGCCTTTGCGGCTACGCCTAAGCCAACACGTCATATCCGGGAACAGCTAGCTCAGGAAACAGGTCTGAACATGCGCGTTATACAGGTAAGAAATATTTCAATTTCAAGTGATTGTTAGGAATATATATTTGTTTCCTCAAAAGGCTCTCATATTCCATCCAGCTTTTAGTTTCGTGAGCAATACAATAATCTTCGGAAGAATGCTGTATTTTAATAAGTACAATAATTATACTTTAATTAAGACTGAAGTCTAAGATAGGAAATAGAACACATGCTCACATTTACGAGTCTAAGGTTTTGAGAGAAAATGTGTGTTACTTTGGGATGAAAGTTATTTCTTTACTTCCACATTTCATTCATAAGTAACTTTATTTTTCAAAGATAAGCCTTTTATTTTTTATTACTTTGTATATTTCGAAAATGAATAACCCTTAAGTTACACACTTGTTTATATATCAATGGGAGCGACATTGAGCACATTGGGTAATTTTATGTTTTTGCCTATAGCAATATTCATTGCAAATAACCAACAAAAACAAAGAGTGAAAACATTAATTTTCAATGTAAAATATATAAGAGATCCATCAATGATTAATGGGATTAATTTTGATTTTGACGCTGTTTTTGAAATAATTTTTATGTGTCTCGTGTGTTATTGGGGATCATGTAACCAACACATTTTTAGATTCATATGAAGTTTGGCGCATAAATAATTTTGAAAAATGTGTTCCAAAAGTCTATTGATATTTTGTCCCCAAAATTAAAACAAAATATTTTTTTCGGGTTATATCGTACCAAAAAAAACTCTGTCTAAGTGCAAAAAAATTTTGACTAGTCATTACTTCCATCAACAATAATTTAATTTCATTTTTATAGCCCTCCCTGGTAGCTCAACAGTAAGATTGAGGGTTTATGACGATCGATCCCTCCGCTGGGCAAAGCACAGATAGCCCATTGTACAACTTTCTGCTTAATAACAACAAACAAACAAACTGACTCTTATTTAGGTCGCTACAAATCCACTCTGACCTACACTCATAGCTAACATTTACTTCTTAATAAGAAAAGCGTGAATGCAAGTTTAAATATTAAAACAGTATCATATGATTATTTTTGAATGACTTTTATGTCGAAATTTCAGCAAGGGATTATCTATTTTCAATACTAAAATAAATCATTTGCGACAAATTACAAATACGGTGGAAACATATTTAATTATATTTACAACTTTAACTATTTCTGACTAATTACTAACCAAAATAAAATGGAAGTTAGTGATAAAATTGATAAATATCCGAAACAGTCTTTGGAGTACTTTCCAATTAATTAGAGATGTGTAACTAGCTACTACAATTCTTTAGACAGAACCGTAACCCTGATATGGAGCTAGTTACTACTACACTTCTTTAGACAGAACCATAACCCTGATATGGAGCTAGTTACTACTACACTTATTTAGACAGAACCGTAACCCTGATATGGAACTAGTTACTACTACACTTCTTTAAACAGAACCGTAACCCTGATATGGAACTAGTTACTACTACACTTATTTAAACAGAACCGTAACCCTGATATGGAACAATAATTAACTGTCAAAACTAAAGCTCTAAACATTTGAAGCCAGTGTCGATTAAATTATTATCAAAATATAAGGTAATAGTGTGTGGAAAGGATAGAAAAGCTATAATTATTATTAATTTAAACAAATGGCTCTTATTATTTCTTGTTCAATAAATTAATGAGAAAAAGCTTTAATGTGTTCTGTATTGCTGATATTTTTTAATTCAACAAATTTATCTTGGAGTCATGTCTACAACAATAAAACTTGTAATATCTAAATATAATAGGGCCACTGAAATGTTTTTTACAAGTGACGGTAATCTATAAGGAACTAAGAACCATAATAAATAAACGAATAAAAACAACTTAATTAATTCCTACGTTAATGAAAAGTTCTCTCACAGTGTGGTGTTGTAACTAAATTGACCCGATTTTCTGTATAAAAGGATTAAATTCATTACTAAACGAAAGAACCCAGTATCTGTTAGCTTACAATGTAAATGTCAGTGGCATGTGATTTCAATCTAATATAACTGTATGCTGAAAACTGTATGTATGTGACATATTATTTGCTTTGGACCGATCAGTTATTTTGAATAAATCATAAAACGCGGTTTAATTGTTTGTTTTTAACATCAGACAACACAGAGAAATAGATTCATATGAAAAGCTTCCGTGGAATTAAATACAATCATATAAACTGAGCAGTTTCGAAGAACACTGAATATTATTTTCCAAGCGTGTAAGCCCATAATGCTTACAAAGTGTCAACAGGTACAGAATGGTGTCTTTTTTGTCGACGACCGTTGTATTCTTCCCCTCGAAATATGCATAAAAATATACTAAGCATATAATATAAGATATATGTTGCATCTTAAATCATTCGAAGCGCTAAAGGTTTAGTCGATAATAAAATTATTCAATATATAGATTATCATTCTATTATTCTGCATATTTCAAATTTGCAAAACCCTACTGACAGAAAAAAAAAGTGGAAAGAAATTCAGTATTGAATCTATTGCATTTAGAACAGCAGTGTTTTTTTAAATACTCAAAGTCTTCAGGAGCAACCGCTCTTTAAAACTAAGTCTATTCTCATATTTTCCAACAACAGATCTCTCCAAATTCAGTCCGGATCCAATTCTGGATCACTTTGAAGCATTTTTTATAACGGGTGAGATAGAGCATTTTCGCGGGTTTGGCTTAATAACTCTGTAAAGTGTGATCGGATTTGTACCAAATTTCATGGGCACATTGAGGTTGAGATTCCTCATCACACTACAAAAAATAATCCGGATCATTGAGTTTTCGAAGGTGAAATTTGACGTTATCCAATATAGACGCATGCAATCTCAAAAAGGAGCGGCGAGACAAGGTTATGCAATCTCTCTGATTGCTCTTGTTTGTTTTGTTGTGAAGCCCAAAGCTACATAGAGGGCTATTTGTGATGTGCCCACCGATTTATAGGGACATAAGTTTAGAGACTTACAGATGAACCACTGGAAGGGGATTTTACAAAAACCATAAATCGTGTAAAATATGCTTCCAAGCAAGTATTAGACAATAATTCAATGACTTCGTCGTTTTTGTTTTTTTTTCTGAATGGAAACAAATTTAATTTCTTGTATTATCATCTTCTAATTAAACTCGACAAGAAATAAAACTGAATGAAATTAAAAACAAAATAATATAATAGATAATGACTTTAAACAGATGACCAAGAAGACTCACACAACTACTAAGTTTTGCTTCGCAAATCAATGTTTCTAAAACAAAGAAAAAACACTTGAGGAACAAGGGTGATATCAAAAGAGTAACCATTTGTGATCAAGACATTTCGGCAGCAAGTTGTAGTCAGGAAATCCTGGCAGCCAATTGTGGTCATGACATCCTGGCAGCCAATTGTAGTCAGGACACCCTGGCAACCATTTGCGGTCAGGAAATTCTGGCAGCCAATTGTGGTCATGACTTCTTGGCAGCCAATTGTAGTCAGGACACCTTGGCAGCCATTTGTGGTCAGAACCTCTAAGAACCAGTTGTGATTAAGACATTCTGGCAGCCAGTTGTGGTCAGGACATCCTGGCACTTTCATTATTTTGGATTTCAGCCTGTGCTAGTTGCAGATGGGTCGCTTCCTATAAAACATCCAATCGAGCAACGAACTTATAGGATAACTAAGAATTAGTCACGTTAATGGCCACAACTCCAGAATTGCAGACTTTGGTTCCAACTCTAAATAAAAACTAAAGAGTCATACATTTTGTTTACGTCCGAAATTGACATATAACTATAAGTTATAGAGGTGTGTTTTTATGATGATAAAGTCGTCACAAATAAAGATATTTTACCTTCTTCTGGGGACGGCTTACGTTTCATCAAAGCCTATTTTAATTCACAAATCTTCAATTTCTGTGAATCTCACAAGTAAACAACAAATAAACACCTAAACGGTCGTGATGACATACATATAAAATCTCTAGAGCAGGATAGTTTTTGAACATTCACTCTTGAATGGACATCCTCATATTTTCTATTGCAACTGGTCAACACCGCAAGTATAACTCTCGCTTACAAAACTGACTATACCGGAGTAAACAATACATCAGTTTCTCTCCCCCACAGTATTCACTTGTATGACAGAAAGACATGTTGTCAGGGCATTCATAACATACAATCAAACTGTGCGTGAATGCCTTAGTCAAAACCATTACAATTCGGCCCGGCCTGGCTAGGTGGTTAAGGCGCTCGACTCGCAATCTGCGGGTCGCGGGTTCGAATCCCCGTACCACTAAACATGCTCGCCCTTTCAGCCGTAGGGGTGTTATAATGTGGCGGTCAATCCCACTATTCGTTGGTAAAAGAGTAGCCCAAGAGTTGGCGGTGGGTGGTGATGACTAGGTGCCTTCCCTCTAGTCTTACACTGCTAAATTAGGGACGGCTAGCGCAGATAGCCCTCGTGTAGCTTTGCGCGAAATTCAAAACAAAACAAAAACATTACAATTCACTTACTTAACCTAGTTCACAACATAACCTCCGTTAATAATGAAAACTGATGATATAAATAGCGCCTAGATCACTGTCATGTCCTAGCCTGTGTGATGAGCCCTGATATTAGGTGGAAGGTCTTGTCGACACTGGATGTGGCAAAAGTAGTGTGGTTATATCTAAAATATTCTTCGTTGTTTTCATTCGTATGTTTTTAGAATTATATGAATTTAAAATGATACTAGGTTATAATAATTACACGATCAAATTAAACATATAAGTCAATCACTGCTAAAACAAACAAACATAATACACTCCCTTACATACAATTTTGTTAACCATAACTTCTAGAAATAGGCGTTTATCTTCCTCTGTTTTCATTATAAACTGTATTGCCGAATATTATCTGTTCAGGTGGTTCATGAATTCTGGAATATTTTCACTGGTGTGTGCCATATTACGAATGCATCATCATCAACATATTTCAGTTACATTCTGGTTCTTATAGCAGCTGTTTTGATGATGTTATATTCAAAA